CCTTTTTATGAATGTATGGAACTGCTCTCATGAACCATCACGTGGCTAGCACTTGCGCGCTCAAATTCGGGTTGGGCCTCCATTATATCTCTAATTTGCAAGGATATTAGAGGACAAGAGTAGCTAATCGTGTGGTGCATGCAAACATACTATTTCATCCATCTTATTGATGGGAATTTTTTTAGCAGTATTGATCTTTCCCAGCTCATAATCAACAAATTGGACACCATTGTTGGCAAAAGGAAAAAAATCTATCTTTATCTCAAATTGAATATTTGTTACAACCAATGTGTGATGTGATTGAGCATAATTGTTAAAGTATTTTTGGAGAAAATCCATTTTTTTTAATTTCAGCTAGCAAGGAAGGGCAAGTTGATGACAACCACAACTTTTGACATGCTTCCCTTTGATGGCTACACGAGGTTTGTTCGCCTTGGTAGTCAGAGGCGTTGAGCGTGGAAGAGAATAAACAGGCTTGGTTGGTATGATAAGTGCAACTTAGGGGCCATTTTGCCCATTTCAAGTTTGATTGAACCTCATTATGGTTTATTTAAGTGCATACAAATGTTTTTCACTTGTTTGGGCCATTCCACATTTTGGTTGATTTGGGATTGTTCAGGCACCAGGTCAGTTAAATTAGTTAGAATGTATTCCAACTCAATTTGCATATTCTTCGCCACTTTAAAAATTGTGCTTTAGATAGGTTTTCAAGAACCAAACATTTATATCATAAATAGAATCTCTTACAACCATGGTGCCTAGAGAATGAATTGGTTTAAATGCCTCATATTTGGTGCAAGGTTTAAAATTACGCAACTAGTTATTGAGGCATATTTCGTTCGTGAGGTGAGGCATAAGCCTCAAGGCAATTTTGAGGCATAAGTCTCAAAATTAAAAAATTTTTACGTAAGATGAAAATGAAGTTTAAAAGTGATTTTTTTATATAATACTCAAATAATGTGTTAAAAGATGATATATTAATTTTCTATTGAACTATGAATAATAAATTGGTATATATATAAAATAAAAAATTGCACAAGATGTAAAGTGACAAGTGATAAATTGAATGTAAAAATTAAAATTCAAATATTATAAGAGCAAGGCAATATTAAATATAAAAATTGCATGAAAGTATAATATAAGATTAAGTTCAACTGCAAATTTTTTCTTTCTTAGTTCCCTACTCATCCACATTTAAATTTCTAAAGAAAGCTAAAATAGTTGGCAACAACTCAAAAATCGTCTGCTTTGTCATCATCGAGGCGTCTTTATTTAAGTCATCATCATAACTAATTGGTCTTTCCATGGCCTCATCCTATGGAACCCAATACCTCTCAAACTGCTTCTTCTTCATTTATTTCAGTCATTTTCTCTTTCATAAATATTTTCCATCAGCATAATGATTTGATTATACTCCAAAATTGATAGAGGAGGTGGTGGTGGTGTGCGGTTTTCAAGTGATCCTCGACGGCGGCTACGACGGTGGTGGCTACGACAAAGATGGCGGGCTGGAGATCGAGGTAGTTAAGAGGAAGTTGCTACAGCTTAAGAATTTATGAAGGTGTGATTTGTTCGTGGCTTTAGCTTAGGATTTAGATACATTTTAATAAAAATGTATAAATAGGTGAGGTATGCACCTCATGCCAGCGAGGCAAGGCACGCTTCAAGGTGGGCCTCAGCCAAGCTGAGGCGCAAATCTCATAAAAAAATCTCTAGGCATTTTTCATTGAAATTGTGCTGAGGTGAGCCTCATGGTGTGCTTTGGGCATGGGTTAAACTCGAAATTGACCCACTCTTAACATGTTTGATGCAAACTCGACATGGCTTGACCCAACCCGCTAACTTGGTTGATTGCGACGGGCGAGTGTAGGCGAGCTGGTGGAGGGTGAGGGCGAGTGCGAGTGAGCGACTGCGAAGTGTGAGCACCAGCAGTGCGAAGACTGTAAGATGCAACAAATGGACCGAGCTAGCAGGCGATGGACTGGTCAAACGGGTTGCGTTCGGTTCGCGAGTTAACTTGAACCCAACCCGATATTTCAATTGGGTTGAAAAATTAAACTAGAATCCGAATTTTTTGGGTCGGGTCCGGATTAGATTTTCAGGTCGTGTCATATATTGGCACCCCTACCCTCGTCCTTGAAGACATTTGTCCATGAATGATGAATCAACAATCTACTTTGTTCTATATGTTGCATTGGTTTTCTACATACTAGGCACTGGTGTTAGAATTTCTCCATTTCAAATTGATTAGAGTGCTGTTGGTGGAGTGGTTTCGTATAAATTGTTGAAACCTAAAACATGTTGTTGGTTTTGGTCTATAAGTTTTATTTGTTAGACCATGCTGTGAAGTATACTGATATTCCTTCTGGTTTTAGACATTTCTTTATTAAAGAAAATCATGAAAATGGCCTTTTATTTATTTTACCATAATTTACAGCTTATGCTAACTACTTTTGTTATGGGCTGCCCAGGTGGTGCTACTTCCAACATGTATTTATTTCATTGGTTTCTAGAATCCCTTTTTAATCAACACTAATCTAAAGCAAGCATGAACTTCAAGGTAAGCTAATTAGAACCAACATGGACCATTGGACCTCATTGTGCCTTTAACTGGCGTTTGAATGAAACTCTACAAAATCAAGAAAATGATGCCATCCTGAGCAACTTCACCATTACCTTGAATCTCGTGATCTCCATGATGCCTTAGCCCTTCGTCAAACCTATCATTTTTACTTGTTATAGACAATCCTTTCTTCAACTTTTGGCTTCCTAACCAAGACATCAAAAGCGAAGGGGGCTGTAGGCTGCTCCTTCAGCTGGCCAACATTAAAGATATACAATAGAAGGAAAAATTCAATGCAAAAAGGTCAGCTGCACGACTTTATATACAATAGAGGTTGCATCAGAGCGTGGGATCTATCCTGTAGGCTCTAGTATATCTGAAACCGTGAGAGGGTGGCTGTAGCTGCTCGATGCAGCTAAGAGAGGTTGTGGCTGTAGCTGCTCATACACATTTTAGAATGAAATATTTTCAAATATTTCCACCTTGTTGGATGGTGCAGCGGGCCTCCGATCACTCATGACTTTACTATTTTACCATTTCAATCACTTAAATTTATATGCCTCTAACATTAATATCAAAGCTGTTGACACATGACCATAAGTTTCAAATTGACTCCATTTTTAACGCCCATATTACCACTCTTGCTGTAATTAAGACCCCTATGCTATTTTTTGTTCATTATACATGTCATTGATGACTTGCACATGGCTCATCAACCAAATAACCCAAGTTTGACGCTTGGAACATGGCAATGACATAAGCCATTGCAATGCCCCATTAAAATTTGTGTTCTTGATTCAGATGCATTTCATGTTTCTTTCAAGTTCAAGCGTGAAGTTGGAGAAGTATCTATAAGGAGATCCATTGTTGACCTCGCTGGACCAAAAGATTTTGAACTCGCGTAGGTAACCCGAACATCAGAGGATTCTCCCGAGTGGGGTGAATACTCTTTGGAGAGGCTTTAAATCACTTTTGACATGTTATCTATGGGGCGTGACTTGGAACGATAGGCGCTACTCTCCAAGTCTCCTACCAAATGAACCATCCCACATAAAAAAATACCCATAAAATGAACCATTTGACAAATGCAATTACCCCCGCAATTTATGAAGATGTTCAAATGACTTGACGAGTCTTGATATGAGCAATCTTTGTTTCTGAAAGAATCACTACTTTGCTGATTTCTTCTCTTCCACCAGTAAACTTCTTCTTGAGTTGGAGGTTCAACATTTGGCGTCTCACCTAGAAACTCGCTCATTAGGAAAAGAACTGCATTAAAGTTACTCAACATACACAAATTCACATAGATTATTAAGTTTGTCTTTTATAACAAATTTTTTAATTTTACCTATTCTACCTGTTTGAACTTCAACTGGACGGAGAGCAGCCATTGGCGAATTATCATCTTTTTCAACATCAACAGGAGAGAAAGAGTGTTGATTAGCCGAGGAATTTGACGAGGCAACGAGCTCATGAATCTCGATTTTTGACTTCGTCTCTTCTATTTTCATTTTCTTCTTCTTCTGAGAAGAAATTAGCTTTTCTTTTTGCTTGTCAAATAAAGTTGAAATTATGTTGTCCTTGAAAATATTGATTTTATCTTTGGGAGCTTTCATCTTTTACAAGAATAGGCCCTTGCGGAGCTCAAAGGCTAGAAAGGGATGAAGAAAAATCATTTGAATGAGAAATAATTGTCTCATATTTATAGGCTATGTATTGAATGACGTGGACAAAAGGACAATGGTAGAAGTCAATATCAAGTAAAACATGATTCAAGTTAAGCTAACTCAGACTACTTTGCTCAAATAAGACTCGCTAGTCGACTACTAGAGAACTCGCCTCAAGGAAATGACTAGAGTCTCATACCTCGTCCTAGCCAAGCGGATATGATCTATGAAGTTGGCTCTAGTGAGACTACTTAAGGGATGACTCCCTTTATAAGAGAAACTATTTTCAGCTGTTCGGCCATGCCAAACCAAAAACTTTTTCGAAGCTTGGCATATGACTTCATCAAGTCTGACATTCAAATAGGGCTACATAACTATTGTATTTTTTCTTATTTTTCTTTAGTGTCATGTATGCAGCCAATCTATAATGCTCAACCTTTGACCTAGATCTATAAAAAGGGGTTGAGGGGTGAACTCAATTTACATAATAATTTGTAATCAGTTTATTTTATAGAAATATCATAGTTTCTTGCTTAGAATTTCTCTCTCTCTCTCTATTTTTTTTTGTTCTCGTTTCACTTACCATTCTCAATATAATTAGATGTGATTTACGAACAATTTGCAACTCAACAGCTACATGCTCTAACTTCAATGTTTAATTCAACTAAAGAGCTAGTAGCTGGCAAATTTAAAACTGATAGAGGAAATCTTTATTTGAAAACGTTATATAATTGGCTTATAACAACTCTATATTTTCTTCGTTCATTCAGTTCCCAGTCGGCCGTGTTCACCGTTTGCTCAAGTCGCGCATTGCTACAAATGGAAGAGTCGGAGCTACTGCTGCAGTTTATTGTGCTGCCATTTTGGAATACCTTACTGCTGAAGTTCTGGAGCTTGCTGGCAATGCAAGCAAGGATCTGAAGGTGAAACGTATAACACCAAGACATTTACAGCTCGCAATTCGTGGAGATGAAGAGCTTGATACACTCATCAAAGGAACCATAGCAGGCGGTGGTGTTATCCCCCACATCCACAAGTCTCTCATCAACAAATCTTCCAAAGAGTAATTTTGATTATATAGTTTCTACATGATGTGGCGTGCCAGTGGAGAATACAATTGTGTACTATGTACTCTGTACTCCAAAAAAAATGAAGGGCAAAATCATCCACTCAGCTTGCAGTGAATACTACAGAGTATTCACCTACTATTTATCCTTGGTAACCAGCTCTCTCTACTTGTATCCCATGCACATCTGAATATTAACGGGAATTTATTTTAATGGCCAAAATATTTTCACTTCTTGCCTGATTGTAGCTTACAAATTATCAACAGTAGTATTTTACTTCATGTTGTGGTGGGCCAGTATGATATTATATTTCCTTCGTATTAGTGAGAGGGATGAATCTTATTTCTCAAATTAAGGTGCTTGTAATGAGTTTCATATTTGGGATTAATTATTCTGTGTGGATGTTGAACTCCATTCGGAGACCAACCAGAATGCGTCATGTCACCTCTTCGTTCGGTAGTGTGGCTCGGTACTACTCGGCACCGCGGCTCGGTACCGATGACATGGCGCGTTCGGCCTCCGCATAGAATAATTTTTCCATACTTGGACTCCTTGAGTACATTAATGATTATAAAATGAGATTTCTTGGGTTGGCAAATCTCATTATTAATAATTATTTGTATTCAATATATTGTGTTGAGAGATTTTGCTTCCTGCAGTTATTGTGCTTGGTTCTATTTAGTAGAGATGATTCTTTATAGGCTATAAATGCATTTTTCCTTGTTAGTGGTGTATGCCTTAGCATTTGTTTGTATGTTTTAATTATTGATAATATATATAACCTATCAATATTTCATGTGCTCATATAATTATGTTTATTATTTAAATAATATATAACATGCTTGTGTAAATAATGCATGTATTGTTGATAAAATCTTTTTTAATATTTGTTAGTAAGGTTGATTAGTCCATAGAAAAATCATTGAATTTTTATGGGTTGGTGCCCACCTAGGGTGTCATAAAAAAATAGATTTGTTGAGTCTTAGAATATTTGTGGTGGTAGAGAGATATAGAGTTTAACGTCTAAGTTTTATATGAGGATCTAATATATTGACATATAAGAGAGGGATGAAAGAGTCATAAGAGACTCCATGTTTTTTACATGGAAAATCTTGAAAAGGGGAAAAATCATAGGGCCTAACCCAATTAAAATGATTCCACTAGTATTTGTTGTATATTATAAATGAGACATTTTATTGGGCGGAAAACATTGGCTTAATCTAACAAATATATGTCATATAGAGCACATTACTTAGCGGGAGTTGAAGAAACTAGTAATATAAAAGTTGTTGATTGGCCTAGCCTATTAATTGGCATGCGACGTTGGTCGGAGGTATTGTAGTTGGCAAGCGACGGAGGTCGAAGGGACCGTAGTCAGCGGGCGACAGAGGTCGGAGGGATAATATTAGGCAGGTGACGGAGGTCGGGGAGATTGTAGTCGGCAGGTGACGGTGATTGGAGAGACTATAGTCGGTGGACGACAAAGGTTGAAGGAACCGTAGTCGACGTGTGACAAAGGTCGGAGGGATCGTAGTGGGAAGTGATGGAGGTTGGAGGGAATGTAGTCAGCATGCGACGGAGGTCGGAGGGACTGTAATCGACTTGCGATGGATGTCAGACTGATTGTAGTCAGCAGTTAATAGAGGTCAGAGCGACTGTATTCAACGAGTGATGGTAGTTGGAGGGACCATAATCGACAAGCGATGGAGGTCGGAGGGAACGTAGTGGGCGTGTGATGAAGGTCAGAGAGACCGTAGTCAACAAATGATAGAGGTTAGAGGGATAATTGTCGGTGGGCGACGAAGGTCAAAGATACCATAATTGGCAGGCGATAGTGGTCGGAGGCCGATGGAGGTCAGAGGGACCATAGTCGACTTGCGACAGAGGTCGGAGGGACCATAATCGACGTGCGATGATTTTCGGAGGGACTGTAGTCACAGGGGGGGGATAGAAGGGTCGGAGGGATCATATTTTGCAACCGGACAGTGGTCAGAGTAATTGTAGTCGAGCAACGATTGGAGGACAGGTGGCGACGTTCGACGACAGGGCGGTGGTTCGGCGGTGGTTGGCAAAAGTTTGTCTATGGTGGTTCTGTGATCGTCGGTGTCGCATCGACTGATGGGAGGTGGTTCGTCGATAGTTGCCGGAAGTTCGTCGACGGTGGTACTTTGCTAGAACTCTGGGATCCTTGAAGCCTCAAAGCTCCTCTAAATTGACGCCAAATGTTCAAGCTTGCAAAGGTCCAAGCCCCCTTTTCTTCTGGGAAGTGGAGGTCTATTTATAAGTTTTTGAGAGTGACATGGCTCATACATATGGAGAAGATATGAGGTAATTTCGGAGTGCTCCATCAGATGACCCATATTGAACCTTCCAAATGTGTTTCGGTCCCTTGATTTTGACCCATTTGTGCTCGAATTGGACCAATTTTGATGTCGTTGGATACATCTCTTTGAGGCATTCAATTTGAGTATAGTTTTGCTGAAGTCAAAGTTTGGATTATCCAAAATTTAATTTTGGAAGTTTCCCACTTGAATATGCCTAGAGATTCATGCTCGGCCAAGACAAATTTTAATGACGTATCAAGATTATAGATATATACCATTAAAAAAATGGCAATAATGATTGGTGAGTAATTTATGGATGTATAAATATAGTATACATGCAAGTGGATGTTTTTTGTAAATGAATGATATAATTAGAAATTTGTACACATTTATTTTTAATAATACTATTTAATAAGCACCATTAAATGATTATAATATTTTTAAATCTTGTCCTTTTCTCTCTATCTATAATTATGATGGTATAATATCAATTTTTACTCATGCCTTTAGTGATATTTATGCCATGTGCTTTGCCATTTATAATTTACTTAGTAGGTTTGGCCCACTTTTTTTTTTTTTTACAAAACTCAAATTTATTATTTTATAAATTTTATGTTATTTATTATGCATCATTTAAAAGAGATATGTATACAGGAGTTATTACTTGTACTCAAGCATAAGGTGGTTTAACCAAGTATTTTCCTATTTAAGTTGGATTACATCAAGGATCAGGTTTAAGCTCATATCTTTTTTGCTTTAGTCATGGGTGTTCTCACTTGACATTGCAAGAGGTTATACCTTGGTGTATGCTTTTTGCTGATGATTTTCTTTTTGTTGAAAAGACTAGAGAGGGAGTTGAAGGCATACTTGAATCATGGAGGTCAACCTTGAAGTGTAAAGGCTTTTGTTTGAGTAGATCTCAAACTGAATATATGGAGTATAATTTTAGTGATAATAGATCTAGTTGAGGGATTATGACATTAGGTGATCAAGTCATTAATAAGAGTACATGTTTTTGAGATATTCGATTTATTGTTCAGAGTGGTGGTGAAATAGATGATGCTATTATTAGTAGAATTCAAGTTGGATGGTTAAAGTGGAGGAATGCATCGGGCTTGTTGTGTGATAGAAAAGTCCCCCTCAAACTTAAGGAAATTATATAAGATGGTGGTTAGATTTACAATGGTTTATGGTGCAGAATTTTGGTCATTAAAAAAGAAGCATAATATTAAGTTAAGTGTTGCAAAGATGCGGATGCTTAGGTGGATGAGTGTCTTTACTCTTAGAGACAAGATGCGAAATGAGCATATACATGAAAAGGTTGGAGTATCTGTGGTGAAAGATAAGGCTAGAGAGAGTCGTCTTAAATGGTTTGTTCACATAAAATGACGGCCTTCCGATGATATGATTAGTAAATTAAATGTATTAGATTTGACTTATGTTAAGTAAGGTAGAGGCAAACCTAAAAAGACTTGGTTAGAAAATAATAAAAATGATCTTTCTTCATTAGATTTAAATGAGAATTTAACTCTTAACAGGACACAATGGAGAAAAAAGATTCATATAGCCGACTCCACATAATGAGATAAAGGCTTTATTTTGTTCTTTTTGTATCATTTAAAAGAGAATTCTTAGACTTATGGTTTTGCTATATCATTAGAAGGTGATTAAGGTTATGAATTATTTAGTTGATTTAAAAGTGTTTTAAATTCTTGAATGAGTTATTGTATTAGTTAAATTTCATTTGTATTTTGATGGATAAATTAATAGGTAATATTGGATTTAGATGTTTCGCAGACCTTATTGGTAGATAATTCTTTTCAAAATTATGTTTATGTTTAATGGAAATAAATTCTTAATTTTCATCTCACATTCTCTAACTGGGCTTTTGTGACTTTCTTATAGGTCTGATGAGCAGAGTGTGTTTAAGCAATGCTATGGATTAATATTGGTTGAGTTTCAAACATGGCTAACCCCTTGATTCCTTTTAATTAAATGATTAAAAAGAACTTTGGAAGTTGTTAACGATCTAAGGTAAGGATCTGTTAAGCTAACATGGGCTGATTTGTCTCAATTGCATATTATTGAGTTTGGATGGACTCAAGTAGCTTAATGTTGATCTAATCTTAACTAGTTTGGGCTTTATTAGCTTAATATTGTCTAGGATAGGTACTAAGCCTAGCATAAGCTTAAGTTAATTTAGTTTGGGTTAAGGATTGGCTAGATAATTTAGGCAACCTTTGATATGGAGTTTCTCCCTATTCTTCTTCATGTAAAACTTGTCTTTTGGTAGTCTAAAAGTTGTTGCATTCACCATAAAGATCTTATAAATCCTATATAAAAATGATTAACTAACTTGAATTAGACAAGCTTCAACTTGCCAAACTTATGCTTACCTTAACTAAGCTTTACTTGCATGAAGGTGTTGGGCTTATTTTTCTGTGAAAACGAAGCACGTTGATTCATGCCTCAGAAAGAGAAATTATTATGTGCGAAATCCGAATGTAGAAATACATCTGGACTCCAATCAAATGATGACACATGACTAATATATATTGTGTATTAGCTGTGTATTGATGTGTATTAACTGTGTATTAGCTAGTACACATTATATACTATAATACATAACTAGTTCACACCAATACACAACTAATACATACTAGTCCATACTGTCTACTAGTCAATACATAACTAATACACAGCTAATACATAGTGTGTAAGTCACATGTAATCATTTGATTGGAGTTCGGATGTAGCTCTACGTCCAGACTCCGCACGTAATAATTTCTCCTCATAAAGTGATTAACAAAAAAAAATTCATAAAAACAAATGTTTGCAGAAAAATTTCCATCAAAAAGGGAGATTTGTTTCCAATTAAAAAATATTAAATTAAAAAACATTAAAATGATATAAATTCGAATATTGAGATTCATGAATTTGCAAAAGATAAATCAAAGATAAAGAATTGCATATGATGGTTTTGGAATAATTCAAAGCTAATAAACAAAATCCTACAAATGTGGATAATTCTTTTCCATAGTCCAAATAGAGAACACATTTTAGGATTGTTCAGCAAATCAGAAACACTTGTAGTGTTCAAGATAATTAGCCAACAACATTGATCACATGTTTCTGTAGCATGAGCATAAATAATAGCACAGAAATGAAAATGGAATGGACCCCCAGATTCCTGGAGACGGGAGAGGAAAAAAGGAAAAAAAACACCAGCTTTAGCTATATTCTCAAAACAGCTTAATCCTAAGCTGTGACTACAGTGATTCCTTACCACCATTTCAGATAAGCTAACTCCTCAATTCAGCAACTTTTGGAACCTCAACAGGAAAGTTGTCAATCTCATGCATCCATGGATTCTTCTCCTCTGCAGGATTCACAGCCCTTAGTGCCCTCCAAACAGCACTATTGCATTTAAATCCTGATCCAAATGCAATCTGCCATGTCCTGTCTCCCTTCTTAATCCTCCCCTTCGACTCTGCATACGCCAATTCGTACCAAAGAGAACTGCTCGATGTGTTCCCGAATCGGTAAAGTGTCATTCTCGATGGCTCCATGTGCCATTCTGAAAGCTGAAGGTTCTTCTCTAGCTCATCAAGCACTGCTCTTCCTCCTGCATGAATGCAGAAGTGCTCAAATGCCAGCTTGAAGTCCGGAATATAAGGCTTAATCTTCCTCTTTAGAACTTTCCTTCCTATTAAAGTTGCAAAGAAGAGAAGCTGCTCTGATAGTGGCAATACAAGAGGGCCCAAAGTGGTGATGTTAGTCTTCAAAGCATCACCAGCAACAGCCATGAGCTCCTTTGACAGAGAAACTCCAACCTTCCCCATAGGATCCTCTTCTTGAGTGACACAGGTGAAACATTTGTCGTCGGCACCCTTATGTGTACGAACTGTGTGGACTAACTGATACTTGGAGCAACGGTGATCCGATCTTCTGTTAGACAGGAGAATCGCCGCGCCACCCATTCGAAACAAGCAATTTGAAACGAGCATGGAACGGCTATTTCCAAAGTACCAATTGAGAGTAATGTTCTCCATGCTGATAACCAAAGCATAGGTGTTGGGATGCACTTGAAGAAGATCTTTTGCAAGATCTATAGAGATGAGGCCAGCACTGCATCCCATACCACCAAGATTATAGCTGATGATATTTCCTCTAAGCTTGTAGTGGTTAACAACCATGGAAGAGAGGGAAGGGGTGGGATTAAACAAGCTGCAATTCACAATCAATATACCTATATCTTTAGGCTTCACATGAGTCTTAGCAAAGAGCTCATCAATGGCCCCAAACATGACCATCTTAGCTTCCTTCCTCGCCTCCTCCATCGAAGGATTGGGTGGAACTCTGATGACTGCCTCAGGGAGGTAGGTGGATTCACCGAGGCCAGATCTCTCAATGATTTTTCGCTGGAATTTGATGTTTTCCTGAGAAAATAAGCCGAGAGCACGAGTTCTATCCATGAAGGTCTCTCTAGGGCATTTTCGGGCTTCCTCAGGTTTGTAGCAGGAGAAGTTTACCAGATAGACAGGGCGAGGTTGGCTCAGGAAGTAGGCAGTGGAGAGGGAGACAAGAAGAGTGGAGCATAGTATGGTGGAGATAAGATTAAAGCAAAGGTGATCCCAAAGATCATGGAGGTCTTGGAGGGAGAAGGTGGAGATATGGGCAAAGGTGAGACCAAGTAAGGGCAGAAGGAAAATGTACATTCCATGGGTTATGAGGTAGTGGTAGCCGAGTTTGACGTATTTGAGCTTCACAGATTTTTTGAAGTCAGGAAGATTTCTTGATGGGTATGTCAGTAATGGAGTCTTTCCTTTGGTTTCAGCCATGAGACCTCTTCTTCTTCTAGGTTTGATCTGGAGCAAATATCAGCGTTACGCCATTCGAATAATCCGAATTTTGAATAACTAATTCGAGATTTTAGAACCGGAAAACGTTCTGTTTTTTTTTCTTCTCAATGATTCCAAAAGCAAAAAAGAGAAATTTTTCGAGATGAAAACTTTGGAGGAAATGCAGTATATTGTTTTGATTATCTCTATTGATTAGATTATAAGGAAGAAACGTATAAAGATCATTTCTTTTCGGATTAAAGAAAATATCAGAACACAAAACGAGTAAAAAATCTAAACGGATAAAAAAGAACAAGCATTTAGTTTTATATCTGATTCGACGATTCATTACACAGATAATGGCCTCGAATCCGATAGCGGATCTATTGAGAAAACCTCCAAAAAACTGCTTTTGATTTGCAGGGGAAGAAAAGAGCGCAGACGGCTAAAGACAGATGAAGAAGACAGCTCTATTGATTTCTGCAACAGCCCTTCTTCGTTTGTTGCATCTGAACTTTCTGTTCTTTCAGCACCGTATTTATAGAGCAATAACGCTAAGGAATTCAAAATTAAAGCTAATAATCTGATGAAAGTTTAATAACTGAGATGAAAAATATTATTCAAATAATTAAAATTATACAAATAATGTAATATTTATAATAATTATATAGAAAATAAGTTTTAAAATACTATATTATAATTTCCTCTCTCTCACTTTTTTTTTAATTTTTTATTATAATTTCCTCTCTTCAATGCAATTTACACTGAAATTAGGGTAAACTGCTCTTCATTCAAGGAAAGATTATTCTTTGCAGAGTCTGAACGTATCCGGAGGTCAATTCAGACGGGCCACGTTACTCAATGCACAGTACATTGAGTGACATTACACGTCCGAATAAGACTCCGAACTCGTCCAAACACCGCACGTAATAATTTTTCTCATTCAATTTTTCTCATTCATGGGTTGAGCTATCTAACCACCAATTCCTATGAGTTGATCGTTATTCTATTGCATTGATTTTTTAATTACATCGAATTAAGGCTAGGCTTGTGACAGCCTTTCTTACTACTTTTTAAATCAGCTTTTAGTACAAAATTTTTTAACTAAAAATTTTTATAATAAAAAATTACTTTAAAAAATAGTAAAAAAATTATCTCAAATGAAACCTAATTTGAAGGTTAATTTACTGCACAATTTTGATGTTCAATGCATGCATTCCATGTTTATTTATGACTCTCATGGTGTGAAAATATGTGACTAAAATTCTAAGATTTTGTTGCAGATTTTTTTTTAATTATTGTTTTTTAAATTTCAATATATAATTTGTGTAAATTTTTTATAAAATTAATTAAAAATAATAAGAGAATGCTTGAAGAGATGTACATGTGACTTTGGTTTTATTTGAGTCAGTTTAAGATTTTTTAGTTTTTTATTGGGGATTTACATACGTACCACTTTATTTCATGCTATTTACATATCTAATATTAGGGGTGTCAATATTTGACACAACCTGAAAATCTGACTCAAATCCGTTCCGAAAATTTCAAGTTAGGGTCAACCCAAACCCAAAACGGGTCGAGGTCGGCTTCAGTTAACCGACCCGTTTCAAAACCCGAGTTGGGTTTGGGTTGACCCAGCAACCCAAAATTGACTCGTTTTGACCCGAAAACCCATTTTGACCCAGCAACCCAAAATTTTGGTCCGTCCCGGGTCATTCGGGTCGTGTCGGATTGACCTGAACCCGAAGTGGGTCAGATTCGAGTCCGAAAAACCAACCTGTTTTTCGAAACTGGTCGGGTTCGGGTTGACCCGAATAGTGCCAGGTTAATTTCGAGTTCGACCAGAACCTGACTCGTGACATGAAATTGACACCCCTATCTAACATTCAAGTCTTTAATATTACATTTCTACCACTCATATAAAATTTTAATATCAAATGTATCACTCCATGCACTCATATTTATTCTATGGGTGATAAACATTTAATATTAAAATTTTAGGTGTTAGATATATAAATAGCATGAAATAAATTTATATGTATGTAAATTCCCTTTTTAATATGTAATTTCTTATCAAAATTTCAAAAATATTTCCTTAAAAATAATTTTTTGAAAATAGACATTTGAAAAAATAGTGAAAACTATCATCCAAAGATATTATTTTTATTATTCACTTTTTTTTTACTAAGAAAATAGTCGAAAAACTCTTCCAAGAGAAAACATGTCTATTGTTGTTCTATCAGGAAAGGTAAGAAATATGAGATTATTATTTTTTTTTATCAAAATAAATTTTAAAATTTTAAAATAAATATAATATAAATTATTTATAATTACACTTATCTCAAAATACTTATTAAAATTATAAAATCATCCTAATTATGTTTTTTTTTCCTTACTTTTTATTGCTACAACTACAAGATGACCTATTTAGTAACATTTACCAAAAATATATATTGTAATGTTTTAGGAAACATTTATTAAAGCTTCAATGTTTTTATTGACAATTCTTCCATCCCCCTTCAACTTTTTGATCCAATTAATAAGTCTTTCTCATCTTATACAAATGTTTTAATATTTTGAAAATGACACAGATTTTTTTTTTTAGAAGTCAAGTTTGCTCATTTTGGTCTATTTTTGCTGGGGATATTTAACTTAATTATGCCAAACTCATACAATCGCATACACAAGACTCAAATTCAAGATCTCTTGGTTGACAGCCAAAGTTCTTAATCAATAGACCAAAATGATCTGTATCATCTTGGTCTGTCGCTTAAGAGCTTTGACTATCAATCAAAAGGTCTGAAATTCGGAACTTACGCGCTTGATGTGTATGAATTTGACTTAATTAGCTCAAAAGACAAAAAAAGGGGACATTTTGGCCAATTAAAGCAGGCTCACACACACATCGCATACATAAGACTCGAATCAAGATCTCTTAATTGATAGTTTAAGCTCTCAACCAACAGATCAAGATGAAATGTGTAAAAAAATTAGTTTGAAGATGATGAAAGAAGCAGTAGTTGGCAGTTGGGGCCTTCAAGCATTAATATTTTAAATTTTGTTGACTCCAAGAAACTTAGAAGCCGGCAATATTAATTATTTTCCATAGAGATGTGGCATATAAGCTGTTTTGATTGGCTTACAAAATTGACTAAGATTTAATGTGTCATGAGGTGACATATATAAGCACTTTAATATATTTATATATAATTAAACTCTTATGTTCTCAATAATTAATTATTTTGGGTTTATTAATCTACAAACTGACATGATTTTATATGTTCCATAATGCCTGAAAATTAGGAGAGACAATGTTCAACATTTTCGGTTTAACATTCTTCATTATTGTCGTTATCATTATATCTTTGATCTAATTTTTTTCTTCACTTATGAGGGTATGTAGCGGCGAAGTTGAAGATTTTTTCGTTCATCGACAACCTTTTTTTTTTTTCGTTCATCGACAACCTAAGTATACATGGATACCATTTTTTTCAAGTTTCCATCTTGTGGCATGGATTAATTCATTTTGAAGATCTAATCCATTGTTGGATACGTTATCAAATAATGTATTTTGATACTTGTTGAAAGATTTACACAAAGTATGGTTAATGAATGATACGTTATCATAAAATTATCTTGATCGGGCACGAATCTCGATGCAAAATCAAGCCGGAAACTTAAAAAATTAATTATGGATGATCTAAACACCGATTTTGGCAAACTTATAGTCGAACTGATCGTCTCGGAAATACAAACCCAACGACACCAAAATCGACTCGATCTGAGCCCAAATGACTCCAAATCAAGGACCCAAAGTGATGTTGGAAGGTTCAAACCACAATTTGAGTTACCAAATGGTTTCCAAACATAATGTGCTTATAGTCGAATCGAGCGGCTCGATGAGACGAATCCAACAAGCTCAATATCACAAAATTCCGACATCTTTAAGACCTTCAAATGTCTGACGAACGGTCCACGATCAAGGTATTCAATATCGGTCGTCTATTCAAACCACACCCGATTCGCCCATGATCTCTCACCTATTTACGGGCCATGCCACTCCGGAAATTTATAAATAGGCCCCTCATTTCTCATGAGAGGGGCCCCCAAGCCAGGGCCCAAGCAAGAAGAAGAAGAAGAAGAAGAAGAAGAGAAGGATAGGAGGGAAGAAACTCCTCGACCACCGCCGCCGGAATTCTGCCCGATGCCTGCCCGACGTTCAACCAATGTTGGAGTTCTGCCCAACATTCAAACAACGCCAGAATTCTACTCGCCGTTCAAGTGACATTGGAGTTTCACCCGAACTACAAGTGACGCCGGAATTCTGCATGACCTCCAAGTGACGCCGGAATTCTATCCGACCTCCAAGTGACGTCGGAGTTCTGCCTGAATACAATCTAACGTCAGAATTCTCCTCGGCCTCCAATTGGCGTCAGATTTCTACCCGATACCGGACCTCTGCTCTTCGCGAAGTTTATACCCAACGCCGGACTTCTGCCTATTGTCGGACTTTCATTGGACATCTGTCCGATGCTGGATTTCTCTCCATTACTGGATATCTACCTGATGCCGTCTTTCTGACCTTTGTCGTCAGACAACGGTCCTTCTGACTAACGTCGCCTGCCGACTACAGTCCTTCTAACTTCTATTGCCCACCGACAAAAATCCTTCTTACTAACGTCGCTTGTCGACTACAGTCCTTCTGGCCTCCATCGCCCGCCGACAACGGTCCTTCTGACTAACGTCGCCCGCCGACTACAGTCCCTCCGACCTCCATCGCCCGCCGACTAAGGTCTTTCCGACTTACGTCGCACACCGATTACAATCCTTCGGACCTAATACATCAATAGTGACTCTTTGTATTCTCACTGTGTAATATACTCTATAAGATGTACATCAAGCTAAGGCCTTCCCCTGGGGAAGGACCTCATTTGTAATCAACTACTATACTAGTGGATTCATTTATAATAGGCCAGGCCCCGTGGTTTTTCCACCTTTTTAGGGGTTTTCCACATAAAAATCTTTGTCTCTAATGAATGCTACACACTCTCTCTTTATCTGATTGCGTGCCGGATCTTCGTACAACGCTAAGACATTAAACTTTATATTTCTCTACCGCCGCGACGCAACAATGATATAAAATGTTATATCGTTTGATCTTTATTAGGGTTATGTTCGAGTAACTTTTGATGAATAAGGCATGATCATATCTTAGCTAAGTATATATTTTAACTCGATCGAAAAAGGCTCAATCATGTCATCAAATATAGTTTGATTGTAGTTTGAATTCATTTTATCGATGTTTGATCATTGTTTGATTAATGTTTGAACGTGATTGTAAATGATTTGATTAATTTTTAGGCAACGAGCTTTACATTAGAACATAATTGAACGTTGAATGTAAGATTTAAATACCTTTGCAAACTCAATTATGGCTTACTGGACATATCATCAAAGATAAACTCGTAGCCTATGATCTTAATATGTAGTTAAAGATGACCATATTAGATATGATCTATGTTTT